AATAATTCATTGAGTTCTTCTTAGGATTCGTATTTTTTTTATTTTAGATCAATTGTTAATGCTGTTGCTTAGCATCCTGAAGGGCGATTAATTGCTTCATGCGAAAAACAAAGACAAGCAATATTATGAGGAAAGTATAATATAATACAATCATTTCAATAGAATTTTTTTGTTCTTTTTTTTCTTTCTCTTTTTATTTTCTAATATGGCTATATATAGCTTCGTATTAGGAAAAAGACAACTCTGGTGAGATAAATATTCAAGAATTGTTGATTGGTGTATATAACTACATGGTTTTATAAAAATAAATCATATATTCTTTAATGAGTAAATAATGATTTATGACTAACAGACTTTTTTTGGTGAATAATAGAAAAGAAGAAGACCTAAAACATTGATATAAAATTAGAATACTTTTTAGAACTTTCGCTGTCTTTTGATAAGATATCAGATAGTTTCAGTTTTCACAAACGGAAACTAAATTAGAATAGTTTCCTGCATTGGTATAAATGTCATTTTCATTCTTTGTGCAAATCATGTCATTAGTATTCATATCAGCTTGCTATCAGTGATTTGTTTTGCTTTCATGATGTCCATATGTGTAATTACTGTGAAAATCAGTTAGTTTTTTTTTACTAATTGTCCTATGGAGATTAAGACTAGCAACAAAAGTTTACTGTGATTTCAGACAAAAATAAAACACTATTAAGACGAGCGTCGAAATCAACTTATGGGAAACGTGATTGTATATCTATTAAATTAATTATTGTATCCATCTTTCTTACAAAAATACTGATCTACTGGGAAAAAATATACAACTATGTTAACAGTAACGGCTGCTAATTTCAAAAGATACGCGAGAACTACAAGATATGAGGAGTACTTTTAGCCAAACATAATGATGTAATTCAAATGAGAAAATACTTATAATCGTGCATACTTTTCTTGTTGTTACACTAGCGGCATCTAGATTACAAATATATCATTTTCTCAAAAGTGGTTTTATTTTTGTTCAAAATAACTTTTATTTATAATATAAAAAATTAAGAAAAAAAATATTGCACTTTCTCTTTAAATTTAATGATTAAAACTCTGCCAATGATTCCGTTACCATCGATTCTATACGTTTTAATGGACGGGTCATTATTTTCTATCTTTTGACAACTATTCTTGCAACAATGGACAAGAACCTAAATATGGCCAAACAATTCATTATGTATACAAATGATGCAGTTGAAGCCACTTTTTCTGATGGTATGAAAATCTTTCTGGCACCATGTGCTACTGAATATGTAGTTCAACAAGGCAATCATACACAAGGTAAATTCAATTTTTTTCTCTTTTTCTTATCTCATTATATCATGATTGAACAGGACTTATGACAACAAAACATCGTACAATATATACAACAAGTACATTATTACCTCGTATTCGATCTGTTTTAATATTTCGTAATCTATATGCTCAGCAACCATTTCTTGTTCCAGCACTTGTTGATTCTAACCAATGTTATGTAAGTTAAATTTTTTCTATGACCTTTTTTTTTGTTTCAAAACAGTTTTTTCTTTTCTTAGCAATCAACAGGTACTGCTACACATGTTCGTTGGTCTCCAAATGTTTCTCTTCCAACAATTTCGAATGATGATCTAACTCAAACATGGTCATGGATATCTCTATGTGGTCGAGCTCGAATTGATATTTCTCAATGTCGACAAATTATTTATATAACTCATCCTTTACAAGTTTCACGTATATTAACCAAACAAGAGGATGATAAAGATATTCCAACAAAATATATACATATATTTGCACCTGTTCGTCGATGTTTTTCATGTCAAAACCTACCTGATTATCTATCTAAATTTGTTCATAATTGTCTTCAACTAATTGAGCAATTATCAAATAGTAAAATTTCATTTGATATTAAAGGTGATAATGATAATGAGTGGAGTTTTAAACTACCATTACCATTACCAAGTTCATCATGTCCAAAAGCTCATCGTCATCGTTTACATCATGAAATGATGTTTGAAGCTGATATACATATATTACAAACAACAACAGTTACATATAGATTAGAATATGAGAATCCAGCAAGTATAGAAGCATTTGTTATTGATAATGATCATAATGAACACTTAATTGATTATGTAATTACTTGTGATATTCAATCAAGTTTTTATAATTATTATTCTATTAAAGATAAGGTATATGATAGATACTAAATGTTGAAATGAAGAAAATTACAAATAAATCCTATGAGAGTACAATTTAAGAAGTTCAATTCTAGAGTAGATGATCTTATAAAAAAAAACGTAGTTAAAAACATATTTTTTATGAAAGTTCTATAAGATAAAATAGAGTTATATCATGTGTTCAAGAAATTGAAGAAAAAACGGAGGATGAAAGCCACTAAGGAAGAAGAGATTGGTTACTCTCTGTTGATGACGATCATATTCAAATGAATAATATATGGATTGATTCCTTATTCTGAGAAATTGAATTATTTCACGAAATGAAATTTATTTTTTTTTGTATCATGGCTCTCCTTACAAAAGGATGCAACGTTTGGGTTGTTTAAATGATTTTAAACGCAATATTTCTAGAATAAATATGAATGAACATTCATAGAATTTTTTTTAATCCAGAAATGCATAGTAAGAATTTGAGAATGTATTTGATACGAACTTCAGTATTGCTAGTGAGATTATCTGTCAGAATAGTACTGAAAATGTAGACAAGACAGATGTATAGAATGAAAATTGTGATACATAGCAATATTGTATGCCACATAACTTTCTAAGTATAATTATTTGCATTTCTTTTACTAATTTAATACAAATATAAGAATACACTGCTTAATACAGTTCAGTATTACTCAATAAGATCAAGTTGATTTTTGTCTTTCGATTTTCGAACTCGTCCTATTAAAATAGAGATTTTGTTTTATTCATTTATAATTTGAATTATTATTTTTTTGTCATTTTTTCTTAAAGCAATGTCATTTATTAACATTATCTGAAAATGCTTTACCACCTCACAATGAACGACTAGTACAAATAATACGTTTCATGTCTACTATGCGTCAAAGACTACTTAGTATGACTCGACGTGTTCAAGAACGACCATGTTGGTTGCAAGAAGATGTTAAATTAGATAATGATAGTAACGATAATATGGAAGAATCGGTAAATTAAAAATTTTTATTCTCTAACAATGAGTTTTGATTTTTCTTATTTTGTTTATAGAAATTGACGTCATTAGAAAATGAAATTGACGATGAGAATAATATTTTTCGACAAACATCTATTTCTAATGTTGGACATTTCAAATATTATCTAGATAGTCATGTTCAAATAAAATTTTCTAATGATTTTATTCTTAATATGACTCCTGAACAAGTTCATTCCTGTCAAGTATGAGTAACAAAATTTCTTATTCCTACAACGCTTTTTGTACGATATATTTTTTTCTTTCATTAGATGAATCCATATGTTGATTTTCAATGTCGAATAACAGATAAGAAAAAACAAACAACCATTGATATTCTAGATGGTATAGCTCAGCCCGGTTGTTATGAACAGTAAGTAAACAAATAAATGATAATTTCAAAATAATATTTTTTATTCTATAGATACATTACTGCTGCAATCGATTGGTGTATGTGGATATGGAATGAAAAAAGAATTGAAGATCAACGTAATTTAGCAAATGATATTCAAGAAGAATTATTTCGTTTAAAACTTTATAGAAATAGGATTGAAATAAAAGAATATCAACAATCAACAACAATAAATACACCTATAAAAAACCAAGTAGAATACTATTCACCAGATGATATCAAACAAATACTTGAACGAACAGCAAAATTTACAAGAACACATTCCTCTTGATGCTTTTCTTTTCTTTTATTGTATAAATAGAATTGTCTAATAAAAATGTTTACTGTTTGATAGATATTTTCGAATGCATCGATTAGAAAATTTATTTCGCTTTTGACATCGTGAAATATTATCTACATGAGAGCATACAAAAGGTAGATGAGCTACTGCACATTTCGAACGAAAGATCAATATACGAACAAGATCAGCTAAGTTTTCACGCATGAGTTGAATTGTTTTGGTGTATTTAATCATGTATTTTATCTTCTTTAAAAAATAAATAGTATAAGACACATGATAAGTAATGTTAGGTAGTATTTTCTTATTCTAACTTTAAATACTTGAAAATAAACTATGTACAGTTCTGTGCTCTTAGCTTTTCAGTCGAAAAAATTATCGACATAATTTATTTTTCGAAAATAATTTAATCGACAGTTGATAGATTTCAAGTGAATAATTTATAAACTATGATATCCTATTCATATTTCATTAGCATGTATCATATCACTATGAATGTGAAGTGAATATCAAGGCTAAACATTGTTTGGCATCCTTCAATCACATCTACAATAGAAAGAGTTTCTAAACACAACTTCGTTTCCATCATTCTAGTCATATCAAGACTCATGTCGAGTGTTAATACGAAATAATAAGTACTCGACTAGCGTATCTTCCAAAAAGCATGCACCAAAATGGATTACTTCTTGCTCTTATTCTTCTACGGCGAACAAGTGCTTTACTCGAAGGTGAAATTAGCGTTTGATTTAAGTAAATCCATTTCAATGTCTCCAAAGAAGGCTTTATCATAATTGTATTCACCGTTCAAGTATACTTCAGTCAGCTCGATTCACAAGTATTATCTAATTTTCAACGGCTAGTATTTATTTGAGCAATAAAAATATTGGAATGAGCAATCATTTTTGAGCAATAAGAAAACTATCTTTGAGTAATTTTATAATATTAAATGTGCAATAATTAATTCATTAAATAGCAGTAGTAATTTCATATTTTAGCAACAAGAAAAAGGAAAAGTAAGATATTTTTATTTACAATTGACAATATAAAAAAGAAAAATGAATATATTATTGTGCAATAAAACTTTTTTGCTTCAGCTGGTCTTCCTCCTTTTCTTTTAGTATCAATATCCACACCTTTTGCTTCTGGTGAGGATTTGCACCCTCACCCTCACGCTGTTATCAAGAGACTAGTTCCATATCATTATCACTTTCACTGTCAGAAATATACTGCGTTACGCGTTGTGATTGAGCCATTTATATAAATTATATATTTTATTTTATAAGATTGAAAAAATACGGTTTGTATAAATAAATTCTTAACATAAGAATTTTCCCATCCACTGTAGTAGAATTGTCCTCGTGATCATCTTGAAAATTTCCTTATGATTATCTTACACTATATATGGGATTCTTCCAACACTTTTGATATTTATGTGATATATATCAATGTTCTCTTCTATGGGAGATCAGATATTAAATTCTATTGTCTTCTCCATCTCATTGTTTTTTCTACGTTTTTTCTCATATACCACGTTTCAAGTGTGTACGAAATAAATCGAACTCACGTAAACACACAACAGTAAAAACCATACAATTTACATAAATGAATTCGTATTGTCCTTTTTATGTGAAATTTATCTTTAATTTAAATAAACTATTGCTCATTCAGTATAATTATTGCTGAATCTAATTATTGCTCATTTCAATTATTTTATTGCTCAATTAAATATAAGTCATTTTCAAAATCTTGAGACATAGTAGTAAAAATTGCAAGACATCGACACCATATCTTGTACATTTGTTTCAGGTTTCAGAATATTCATACAATATTTATTCGGAAAGTTATTTTACTAAATCATGTTTTTTTTATATGTAACAGTATAGACATACTCTATTATTTGTTTTTTGGACAAACACAAGAATATGAAGATGCACATAACATTTGAAAGTCTATTATGTTAGCCAACTTAACATGGAAAAAATTTGTCTTTTTCAGTTCGTGATATAGAATATGCTTGGATATGTTGAAAAGTTTATGTAAGTATGGCAGAAGACGGTTTTTTTATATTATAATTCCTCCCATAATGTGTTCGACATCAAACGATTTTCACTGTATTTACTAGACGAAAAGATGAAAAAAGGAAACAAGGACTTCAATGACTTTCGTATTTAATGTTAAAAGCTAGCCACATGAAAGGGCATTATTGAACCGTGACAATATAACGAATGTGCCACACTGATGATGAATCAAGTCTTATAGGAGCTTTAGATTCAAAAACATTGACACAGACGAGTTGTTCACCGTGTCTATGTTGTAGCAAAAGATACATTTGTACAGATTTGAGAAATTATCGATTGAAAGATCATGTTCATTTTTATTTTTATTTTGTGGTTTTTAGTAGTACTTCAGAATTCTCTCTTTTGGGTATTTTGGTCTTCAGATGCATTACCGTTCATTCTACATTCGGCGTATTTTTTGGACTAATTGTGAATTTTTTGACTTCTAAATATATCTCTCTCCGAAGTTAATTCAATTGATTTTGGAATCATTCCGGCATTCTTCGAAGAAGTCCTATTCTATTAGAAAAATACATATAAAAATAAAGTTCTATGCACTCTATAGAGGGAAAACCAGAGGAATTATATGACTAAGTTGCCCTAGATATAAGCATAGATGCAGAATCTGCCGGTAAAATGAAAAAGTCTTCACAATGGGGCAAAATTTTTCGAAAATTTCTTCTACTATGTGAATAAGCGAATTTGTTTGGTGTTAAACATACAGATGTAAAACACTAAGTCAATGAAAAATATACAAACAAAACAAAAAATACTCCCAAATTTCATATATGATTTTGAAAAAGAAATAATCTTTATGCTGTTGGTTTAAATGGTGAATGAATATGAATAATTAACAATCATAAAAGCGATAGATTAATCTTGGTTAGCTTCATTATTCATTATCGAAAACGAGTAATTGCATTTCTTGAACAATATCTCGGTATCACATCTGACCCTAATGAACTTCTTTTTTCACAATTCTCGATGTTCTCAATTTTAGAATAATTTCAAACTGATAGTTAAATTTAATATTCATGATATTTTTCTAATAGCTCTCTTTCAGAAATATCTGCTAACGGCTAGAACTAACGCTTTGTAGCTCTTTTCGTTCTTTCTAAACGTGAGTTCATCGATATTACATATGGGTGAATTGCGCCCGTATTGTATCGTTGCTTTCCGAGCGAGAAAACATTTATATGTCAACTTTTACTCGACGAATTTTGATAATTTTTTTTTTCATATGCTTCTCAGAGTCTATCCCATTTACCGTGCAATTATCAACTTTTTTGGGTACTGTAATTGTGAAATCTTCAAGTAAGAAAAGTCAAAATGCGTATTTTAGACACCAACTGTCGATCAAAATGGCTTTTTCTGTCTTCAATTTCGATTTGATAAAAATACTTTTTTATCAAAATTTTATAGATAAGACTCTTCTCTTTCTGACGATGTAAATTTATGACAGCTTCGGTAAAGATTTACCGATCAAATCTTGCAAAAATTATCTAAACACACATTTTGATCATCTTTCCTCACGTCAGATTAAATTCAATGTAGTGAAGTCGATCTGACAACAAACTACAATTTCTTTTTCAAGTTCGATGCATTAAAAGACAAGAAATCTTTCAATGAATAAAGTTTTCTAACAGTCTTATAAATTAGATAAAAGAACTAAAAATAAAAATGAGATATAATTATTTTTTTTACTAAATGTCATGCCAGATTTTTTATTTTGTTTCTTTGATATCTCGATAGTTATAAGAGTTTTTACCAATGATTTTTCTGTCAGTTTTAGCTGACTACACAGTGAATTTATGGTAAAAATTTCAGCTCTTAAATATGTAGCATTCACGAGAAAACAGTGCTTTACTCGAGAAATGTCACATCGGATTAAGATAACAGATGTTTTAAGAAAACTTTAGTAAGTTCCATCTTCTTTGATTTGAATCGATTCATCTGTAACCAAAGATGTTTTCAGACATTTATTAATAATTCTTAATACTCCCGATGATCAATAGATTATACTTTTAGATCATTCACTACTACTAGAGACCATCGGGTAGAACCCAGAATTGGACCATTCATATACCTCGAAAGACCAAATTTTTTCCTAAACGAAAAACCTGCAGATTGGGAAAAATAGTTCATTTCTATACAATAAATAGAGTTTTATCGTATGTACAGTTTGCTTTTTTAATCCATATTCACTCTTATTTTTTTTCGATTTTTTCCCTCAAATTGTACAATACAAGTGCAATTTAAGATTAAAAGCAATAATTATCGATGAAAAAATATCAGAGATAAAGAAAAAAAAGAGTAGAATGTTCATTTATGAATTAATTAGTCTATTCTTCATTGACATGATATTTTTGTCATTGAGGTCATCCATTCATTTCATTGAATGGCAAATCAACAATGAACGCATATGTATATATATATATGCATCATAAGAAGTGTCAGTGAAAATCAATATGCATCAGTATAAGATTAATCTTCTTGATCTACCTACTGAAGTATTACATATCATTTTAAAAAAGCTTGATAACATGGATGTTCTTTATTCATTATTTGCTATTAATAATCAACGACTTGACAACATAATACAAGAAAATACTTTCACTAATACTCTCAATTTTGTATTAATAACAGCAACCGATGATATTTTATCAGTTTGTGATCGCGTACTCGATCGATTCTGCTTAAATTTATTACCAAAAATTCATAATAATGTTAAATCCCTTATTCTTAATTCATTATCTATGGAACATATTCTTCTTGCTGGTGATTATCCTAATTTAAGTGAACTTAAAATCTTCAATTTTAATATTAAAACAGCTTTACATTATTTTACAGGTAAATAATTTGTATACTAATCTAAATAATGATTTCGGTAAACTAGGTAATATCTATTTTTTATTTAGATGAATCCCCATTTCGACATATTTTTCAACGACAAATCACAGATCTTATTCTTGTATTTGAAAATAATTTTAATAAATTATCATGTACACATTATATGACATATGTTTATGGATATATAATGAAATACTTCGAAAATCTACATCATTTATCTATTCAAGGATCATATCCTAGATATTTTCCACCTTTAGAACTTTGTGATTTACCTTTAACTACTTGTTACTCTTCAAATCTTTGCAAATTATCTATTCGTGTATTGTATTATCATGATCTTCTTGCTTTACTTGATGGTCGTCTCAAACAACTAAATACATTGAATGTTGTCATTGTCCAACAGGAATGTAATTCAACGAATGTTTACAATGTGGTACGTTTAAATTTCATTAGATTAATCTTTTTTTTCATGAGCTGATTAATGAAAATTTTCATGATTTAACTAAAGCAAATAGTCACATTTATGGGACGGAGAAATATTATTAAAATAAATAAAATACTAATACAACTTGTTTTCATTTATATTTTCTAGAATCTATCTCATTTGAAATGTTTTTCTTTACAATATGATTGTTCATATGATGCATATGATGGTGAAATTTTACCTCTTTTACAACGTATGTCAAATATTGAAGTATTAAACTTAAATCTTATTATTGGTAGTCCAGCTCGATTTATTGATGGTAAAAATATTTATGATGAAATTCTTATTCATATGCCACGACTTCATACATTTAACTTTTGTTTTTTAATTTTTTCTCAATTAAATCATTCAGCTCAATATTTATATAAAGATGATATTCTACAAACTTTTACTAACATTATAGTTAAACAAGTGGAGTGTATGATCAAGTATCGACGTTATAATGGTTTGAAATATCATTTATCCTCATTACCATTTATGTTTGATAATCTTCAATGTATTGGTAATGGATTTTCAAATATTATTTTCAATTATGTTATAAGATTAGTGGTTGATGATGACATTCCATTCGAACATGAATTTTTCATGCGTGTTGCTTGTTGTTTTCCTTTACTTAAAGTATTAACTGTTTCTAATTCTGCACCACAATCATCAATCTTAAATTCCAATGATAATCAATTATATTCAACAACTATTGAATATCCTTATCTTACTTCACTTTGGTTTTTATTGGCTCATTGTGATTATGTCGAACAATTTCTTAATGATAAAAAAACACATCTACCACGTCTAACTGTATTATCATTAAATGACTATCATTTAAGAAACGTAACGAAAAACTTTACAAATGATAGAACCCGACGAAATTGTATGAAAGTGAAAGAATTAGATATAGGTCGTAAAAAAATTGTACATTCAAAAGATTTCTATACTTATTTTCCTTTGTTGTAACTTTACTTTTTTTTGATTATAGCTTAATAAAATGAATAATGAAAATATATTAGTAGAATTTTTGCAATTGAACCATATCAAACAACAATCATTAATTATATATGCTGATTAACTCTGGAGGTTTTCTTTTTTCTGGAAAAAATGTTCTCAAACGGTCAAGAGTAAAACAACGAGGAAGAAAAAATTTAGATATATTCGGTATTTTATCATCATTCGTAAGATTCAATGATATCACTCGGTCAATAATTTTAGGAAAATATTCTTGACATATAAATGTCAAAATAAGAGTTGTTGTCAAATCGAAAATGTAAGAAAAGAATGTTGTCAAAACGAAAATTGGGTTCAGAAAAAGCAAATCAAACTTAAAAGCATGCAAATATTCAAATTAATGAATAGCTTGTTGGTTAATATTTCGAAAGTAATTTTAGTATTTTTTTTACGTGGGAGAATTATATTAACAATTCTTTTTATTTATTGAAAAGAAAAAATTAATGTCCATATACGACAAATAAAATATATAACATAAACAAATAAATAACTACCACCATAAATATATATCAGAGTTAATAAATTTAATAAAATAATCTCTACATAAATTTTGAAATTTAATTAACATATCTAATTCTCGTAAATACATTTTAGGTATTTCTTTAATACATAAAAAGAACAATTGATTTGTTTTCATATTAGTTTTTGATAATAAAAATGTTAAAATTTGTTTAATTTCTTTTTTATTCATTCCAGTTTGAAGATATTGTAATTGAGGAAATAAATTAACTAGCATTTTAATTTCTTTCAATGTACATGTTTCACGAATATCTAAACGTTTGACTTTGTTTATATTTGATAAATGAAGAAATTCTTCCTTTTGTTGAATTGATGTTGCCGTATTTTGACGAAAACATATCAAATCATATTTTAATGTATATAAATTAGATGTACAACGTAATAAATCAATTAATTCTTCGAAATAAAAATCGTAAGGTTCAACAACTAATTTAGTAATTTGCTTTAATGCAACAATTCGGCTAAGAGTTTTTGATACTGGATCAACAGATATTTGAAAAGAATTTGTAATAGTTAATTCAGTAACATTAGGAAAATAATTTATACAAATATCTGATATTGCATTACTACAAATATGAAGATGTTTAACCGAGTTTAAATTATTTTCTTGAATATATGAACAAACTTGTTCATCAAATTCCCAATAAAATGTATAGTCTTTTCTTCTAGAAAAAAAACGAATAGAAAGCTAATATAAAATCGAATGAATCTATTTTTACCGATATGGATTTGTTGAATAAAATATTCCACTTTTAACAGTTTCTTGCCAATAATGTTGATGAGTAAAACACCATTTTTTTTCAATATAAAATGACGAATTAAATTGATTAATTAAATTATGATATGTTAGTTGATTAATTTGTTCAGAACCTTCATGATTTATATCAAATACACGTAGATTTGGCATGTAAGATACTATTAATTGTTCCCATTTTTTTGCATCTAAATATGTAAAATCAGCTTTTATTGTAAGACGTAGAACTTCGACGTAATAAAAGGAATTTTTTATGAATTTTTCCAGCTGATCAAAAGGAACTAAATCAAGCTCAAGTGAAATATATTTTAAATTTTTTAATACGATAGGATAGAATTCTATATGTTGTAAATCAAATCCATTAAGATAATTAATTGATAAATGTCGAAGTTGTTGCAGATATGATAATAAGTTATTAAGTGATTGAAGTCGAAAATAATGATTAATAACAAGACATTCAATTGGACTAAATATATCAGTAGATTTAGGTAATAATTCTACATCATCTTTTGATTCGAATTTAATTTTACAATATTTCAATTTAGGTAAACGAAGTATACGAATATAATAGAGAGTTGAATTTTGAATATAACCAATGTTATTAATAGTTAATGAATGTAATTTTGGTAAAATAATTAAATGATCAGCAACATTATTTAAAGATTGTGCACTGATATTATCGAGAATTAATGTTTCAAGTTGAAGAAATGTTGAAATAAGCCATGGTTGTGAAAAAACAATACCACCCAGGTCGAAAAGTACCGGCCGGAAAACACCGGAAATCAACGGAACATGGAAGCAGTATTCCGGCCGGAAATTTTTCGGATTTTTTCCGGTGGATTCCAGCCAATTCCTGTTCTTTCCGGCAGGAACCGGCCGGAAATTTTTCGGACTTTTTCCGGCCGGAATACTGCTTCCATGTTCCGTTGATTTCCGGTGTTTTCCTGCAGGAACCGGCGATTTTTCCACGTATTTCCTGCCGGTTCCTGCAGTATCCGGTGACCGGAACGATCGACCTGGGCAATAGTAAATGGATTTGTTAATCGAAGAATATTTATTCGATGCATATTGGGAAGAATTATATTATTATAATACCATTCAAAATTTGATTTAGACATTGTTGAAATATTTATATGAACTGGAACATTTGAATTCACAAGTAAATTTTGAAATCGTGTATTGAGATTAAAAAATTCTTCATAGACATGGTAAATATCCATATATTCAAATACTTCATAAAACACTTCATTTGATAAATCTTCTAAACAACATCTGAATTAAATAAAAGAAAATCATTAGATGATAAAATTGGTATGTAGATAACTGACTTCTTTGAATAAACTAAAAAATAAAAGAAAAAAAAAACAAAATAAAATTTTTTTGATCTAAGTATAAAATCTAACTTGTATTTTGTAATTTTTGTTTTTTATTTTCGTGATGACGGGCAATTATCTCGTCTTGTTGTCTTTTTGTTCGTTCCATACTTACAACCGACGATGATCCATATTGAAAATGACAACAATGAACAGACAGAAACATGGAATAGGTAAAAATATGGAATACGTAATTCGCTCTGATTTGATATCGATATTACAAAAGAAAAATGGCTGACCGAAAAGAAAGTAGTAAACAAATCGAATATGATTCATCATTTCTATCAAATTCTTTTCAGATTATTATTGCATTATAAATAGTGAATTAATTGATCAATTTACTTTTATCTTATTAGTGATAAATACTTTTTTCGTTTCTAACCGATTGATAATCTATCCATCTGTTGAGTCAATTATTAAGACTATATCAGTGCCGTTGTTATCAATTGAACTTACCTGATAAAAATAATTGTCTCTTCTGCAAATAATGCAAAACAATATATTAATATTGTTCATTTGATCAAATAAAAAGGTTTTCCTTTCAACTTAACATCAAAATCAAAGAGATAATTTTGTATTTCGATTGAAAACAATCAAATCGTTAAAGTACTAAAAGACTTTACATAAAAGCATTTTTGAAAACTAAACGGTATACTTGTAGAAATTCTAAAGAATCTCTTTTCAGATTTTTTTTCTTGAAATGATTAGACTTTTCAAAAACATCATCCCATTTTAGTTAGCGATGTGAAAGAATATGAATCTACATTCTGCTGACTATCGTATTCATGTCATTCATGTCAATAATTTTGCAAACTACATTTTGTGTTTAAGATACTTGATTAAATTACAAATGATAAAGATCCTTCATTTCAGTTATATTATGATGTTTTAGAAATTTCTCTTGCGAGTATGTGACATATAAAACTATACCATAATCATTGCACTTCTACTTTGATAATAAGGAATCATACTGTAGTTTTTTAAAGTTCCAACAATTATTGTAATTTTCATGTATGAGTTTCTTACACCCTTAAGATCAATATTAAATGTAGTTTTTTTCTTTTTAGTTTTTGTTTCAATATCTTTTTTTTATTAGGTTTGGTTTAGTTTTTGATGCATTTATATTGATTCGAGATGCTTGTTTTAATTCTCGAGATAAAATGGACCACTCTAGAAGAATTAGTTTGATTTTTTTATTTTCTTCTGATAAATATCAAATGAATTTAACCTTCTTTCCATTTATTTAAAATGAAATGTTTTTCATGATCATGTTTTTTTGAATCATGTAAAGTTCGAAAACTTGAATTAAAATTTAATTTAAGTTTTAATTTATAATCATAATCATTTATTGGATTTTCAATTAATGGATGTGGTGTCATTGAGTAATTCCTTTTAAAACAATACTAAATAAATATCAAAGTGATCTTTTCACGTATGAATTAAATAATTATATATACCGGATATACAGGTGATGGTTCAGTTACAGTAGCTGGTAAACTATCTTTGGATAATCTTAATATATCGATGGTAAAAGATGCATGACCACGACCAAAAGCCGTTTATGATGAAATAAACGTCAATGAAAACGACACTTATGTAAATCAATTAATTTGAACACAGCAAAGAAACATTTTGAAACAGATTTTCGATCGATGTTATCAAAGGAAAAAGTCCGATTTAACAGAGAGCACTAGTGATCGAAAAACATATATATGATCATATAATTATTAAATGAGTTAACTATGGAGAAAAGGTCATTAGGATGAGGATGAATGTTGTGACGAAATAATCAATGAAGGTAAGAAAGATAGGATTTATTCACATTCACTCATACCAAAAATAATCAATTTTTGTCATGTTTAAATGTATTTCCGATAGAGAAGAAAATAGAGATTATACAGATTGCAATATATTAACACGATAATGAAATGATAGAGTATGATTCGAAGTTGACTACTTGTGAAATTTTTCCTAGAGTGAACAAGAACCTGTTAAAAATAGAAAAAGTCTACAATGAGTTATCTACTTTGATCTTTCTTCTCAAAATATAGTCAACATACTAAAATTTTCGCTTATATTACATAATATCTCATTCAATATCGAATATTGAATTTTTTTTTTATCTAAAACATTGTCCGCAAAAATATTTCAACATTATTGAAAATTAGAATTTTTGATTCGATAAAATTTCAGCTGAAGAACTCTAATGTTGGGATTGTTCTGATGTGTTGTGATACTTTATGAAAAGAATTTAATTAGGACACCAAAGTTTATATTACTTATATAAATCTAATCCATCATTTTGTCAAAAGAATGTCTCTACCTACACTGAGGATGTTAAGAAAAAAAGGAATGATAATAAATATTACATCCTGTAAAAAAAAATAAAAATTGTCTGCTAATCACCATGACATTGCTATACATGATCTCATCGTTCAAAATGAAATCTTTATCAGTCATTTCCGTAGTCTTATGTTTCATGAAGCCACATTGAGTAGTCATTATGTGAAATAGGGAATGCTAATTATATTTTTGTAGTTAATAGAAGTAGAGCAAAAAGAAGAAAAAAAATGTCGTTTTAAAGGTGTGTCTGATATTGACAGAGAATATTCTATATGCACATTTATTTATCTTGACAAGAACATATGACCTTGTAATACGACAGTTAATATACATCAATTTGAAATAGAGAATAAGAAAAAATATGTTCGCAATGGGCAGTATTTTGAGGTCAATATTTTTTACATAATTGATCGGTTTTTGATATATCAGGTACATTATGACAACCCTTGTATGAATACATATTGATCTTCTAGTTTCTGTTGTTTTACAAAAAAAAACAGTTCTTGGTTATTCTCATATTCATCTTTGATTTGTCAATCTTTGACGTTGAATCTGCTTAGAATCTCACATCAGAAGAGTATTAAAAAGAACTATTTTTAGATAATAGATGAGATGTTTTTTCAATAGAAAATTATATTTCAGTCAAATGATTATATTCAATTTATAAGTTACCCACATATGTCATAAAAATGAGCCTGGATTTTTCTTCATAAACAGTATTTACTAAACACTGTTATCAGAACTACGTACTTCCGATTCATCACTTGTAATAATCTATTGACGAGCCACATGTATTTTTTCGTTTTTTTTCATATTTAATAATAATATACCTTTTGTATTCAGTTATGACAGATAGTATAAACTAGTACATATCATTTTCTATGTTCGAGCTATAACGAATAAAAAGTTTTGACAACACATATCGTGTAAAACAAGGATGTCACCATTCAATTTCTTCTGATGGATAAGACAGCGAAATTTCGATTCTGACAAAGTTCATTTTCTATATGAAACAAATAATATATGATTTTAATATCTGTTATCTTATTTTTTTTAATATTTCAATATATATATATATATATATATATATATTTATGCATTTTCGTCTTTTTTTTGTATAAAATAAAAGTAATAGTATTATTTTTCCAAAGCAGAACAAGAATACAGAAAAAAAAATTGCGCAAGAAAAACAAAATTTAAGAAGACAAAATGCTGCGTAGAAAGCATACACAAAAACAAACAACCAAACAAGAACAAAAAACGAAAAAAAATGATCATATTTTATTTTATTTTTCCTTGGTGGCGAAACCGGTTGTGAGCATTGTAACATGTTGGTTTCAAAGTTCACCGTCATATGTCTGTACAAATGACTGTTCATTAGAATATATGCATATATATATATATATATAAGAATTCTTCAAAACATATACACACAAAACAAACAAATAAACAAATATAAGGTTTCTCTATTTTTTTTCTTTTCTCATGTCTAGATGTGTATCACAGCATATCACACGGCTGCTGCTTCAGGACCGCCGCTAACTCTCAAATGAGATCCGGTATAGTGTTGATGATTATGTAATGTTGGTGGCTGTAAATGACTATCACCATATAGATTTTCTAAATATTCTTGTCGTCGAATCTTTTCATTTAAACCTCGACAACGACAATAAATTATTTCACGAAATGGTGTTCGAAATTCTCGATTAAATTTGGAATAAATTAATGGATTTAACATTGATGATGAATAACCAAACCAGAGTAAAACTGGATCAATCCATTCAGGAGCATTCAATGATCGTGGTGAACCTGTTAAACGTGTTATATATTCGTGTAACGGTTTTATAATTGCAAATAACATAAATGGAAGCCAACAAACAATAAATGTACCTAAGATAACGCCAAGTGTACGTATGGCTTTTTGATTTGGTAAATGAACATGACGAAAAAATGAATAACGTCGTGTAACAAATACTGATAAACGACCATTAAATGGCGTACTTATTCGTCTACCTAAACATCTTGATGGAGATAAAAAACTAGGAGATTTACTTCCACTTGACTTATTTTTTGAATGTCTCAATGAACGTTTTCCACCATGTCGTTGTTCGATACCTGACGCTGATGAACCATCTTCATTTTGATTTGAATTATTAGTATTATTTGCATTAGATACATTTAATAATGACTGCGGGTTTGAACAAGTATTACCATTTAATTGTTGTTGAGAATGTGGTCCAGTTACATTTCCTGGTCCGACATTTGTCGAAGAATTATTATGCGTTAAAAATTGTGACATTTGAACACTTGAACGATTATCCATTGCTGTTTGCGCTGTTCGATATATATTTGCATATATTATAAGTACAACAATAAGGGGAATGTAAAATGAAAGCATAGTTGCAAATATTTGATATTCCAATTTATTATTTACTTGACATGTCGGAAGATTTACCGAAGGACCTTCAAAGTATAAAAACAAAATGCAGTATAAATTAATTACAAGATTATTTTTAATAGTTAAGTGGTGGGCTATGTTCTCGATAATATCTAAGATATATTCATTAGATCCGACAAATAAAGTATTGAAGTCTAGAATATTGGACTCTCATTGTTCACCCTCGACTCATCTGAAGAAGGAAGAGAAAAGTTATTTATACGTACGTCCCCAGCCTAAAATAGGCGGTAATGAAACAAGCGCACTAAGTATCCAAACACCGGCTATCATTAATGAAAGTAATTTGACTTTACGCATGGGAGCATATTTAAATGGATGATTAATGATACAATAACGATCGATTGAAATAACGAGAAAATTCAATATTGACGATGTACATAGAAGAACATCAGTTGATGTCCATATGTCACACATAACCGAACCTAAAATCCATTTGTTATTGGAAATTTCGAGCACTATAATAAAATAACAAAAAAAAATCTACTAGACGAAAAAATAATCATTTATTATTTTTGATTTTACCCATTGCTAATGGCATAATAAATAAGCCGACTAATACGTCACTAACAGCCAGACTAACAATAAGTATATTTGATGCTGTTCGTAATTTTCTTACAAGACAAACAGCTAGTATAACAACAAGATTTCCAACTATTGTTATAATACTCATTAACGAACAAATAATAATAATTAGAACTAAATGCGCTATACTACGATGTTCTTTTTGAGAAATTTTTCCATTTGCATTAGTATTATTATCAAGTTTATTTGTTGTTGTAATTGATACTGACGTGATTGTTGTTGATATTGATGATGATGGTGTAGCTGTTGGTAACAGTCGTCGTCGAGATGTACTAAATATTGTAGAGGAATTATTTGTGAATATAATAGAAGATGATGGTGGATTTCTTTGCTGTTGAACAGCAGCCACGGATGAAAATAATGAAATAATTGATAATAACGAAATAAATATTGATGCACGTTTTGAATAAACTGTCGGCTGTAAGAAAGAGGACGACAGCCGACAGATACGACGGCTGTGTAAAAACGCCAATGTCGACTCTAAATAAACAATAAGTAAGAACTAGTTTATTTTCATATCATGACTTTTAATATATGTTTCATATAGAAGAAAAATCCTTTTTTTTTTTTTTGAGAAGCAAATTAATATTAATTTGATGCTTCAATGGTTTCTTTTTTTTTTCCTTCTTTTCAATAGATGGTTATAAAGACGTCTACCGGAAATATGCTCAATTTTTTTTTCCTTCTCTCAATATTCTTTATTGTCAACACCGGAGATTACTTTTATATATAAAAATATACCGTTCAAAATGATGAAATTTATATGGATAAGATTACAAAAAAAAGCTTCTCGATGTCATCTTAGAAATGAAATGAAATACTATTGAAATCATTGGTCACCTGACTATATAATAAACTACGCTTATGAAGCAAACTAACTGTCAAATGGAATACATTGTTCTAAATTTTTTTTTCTTTTTCTTTCGGTTCCTGTTCTTTATGCTTACATATATTCACCTTGATAAAAGAAGAGAAAGTAACGTTTGCTTGACACTC